TAAGATCATAGTATATAATAACTCTGGCCAGGTAATCTATATCAATTGGGGATTTGGTGAGGAATTCTATAGTCTCCGTTTTGGTTTTGTTTAGAATGTTATGATTTTGAGCAGCGATACGATAGTAATCAGCTAAATATTGGTAAAAGAGAAAGCCTCTTCTTCTAGGGTTGGTTTTAGTATTATTAATTTTGCAGATTTGTTCTTCTGTATCTGTTGCTAGTTGATCTATGATCTTAGTAAGAATAATTTTGCTGAATGTTGTTTCGTGTTTGCCATCTTTGTAGAAAATTGAAGTATTAAGAGAAGGTATTTGTAGTGTAGATTTGTCTTCTGTAGATTGTTTTGGATATTCTTTATATGATTGTTCTAAGGTTGCTTTATATAGTACTTTTTTGTCATGCAAGTAGCTTTTTTCTTTGTTTCTAAAGATGCAATCTTTGTATATAAATTTTTGATGTAAATTTTTTCACGTCAAAGTTAGTATTTAAGGTAGGATTAGGATTTGAAAAGAGCACAAAATGTTTTTATTTAAAATAACTCAGACTGATTAATTAGTTTTTGAAATAGTATATAAATAGGTGTAAAACACTATAGGTATATTTTAGTAAAAAGTCTTATCTAAAAATATAAAATTAACAATAATATTACCTTCACTTTTTTTTTTACTTGTTTATCAGTATACCTGATTATATAATCTAGCTAAACTATATATTGATCTTTATCACCATTTTCAAAAATAATATCTACAATAACTTTACTTTTACCAATAGTTTTGACAATTTTCACTATAGAGCAAGGTGTGTTTAAAACTGTATCTCAAAGCTAAATAGTTTCTCCTGACACCAATCGACTTTTCTTCTTATTTTTAGGATCTCTTTTTACAGATAGTTTGAGCTCATCTTTATCGTGACCATTAGCGTCTTTTTGACAAAAATAGAACTTAAGAAAGCTACTTGCAACTGATTCAGCTACAGGTCTATATAGAAGTTATATTAATAGTATTATTAAATTAATTGCTACTAATCTAAAATTCTTTATTTCATAGATACAAGCAATAAAAAATTTATTTAATATACATATTTCATATACAGATTGCCTCTGTTAATATCAACCTATTTGGATTAGACAATTATGTTAATATGTGCGAGGGTTGATAATAGTAGAATAATTTTTATATAGCTTAGGCCTATTTTTTCTTAATAAAAGGTTGATATTAACAAGGTTGATATTAATGGGGGTGACCTGTATTATGATTATTGTGCATTTATTATAAAAAAAAAAAGAAATCAAATAAATGAAATTTTCTATTACCTAGATTTACTATGAGAATTAAAAGTGCTATAAAAGAATGAATTAGAGATATTAATATATTTAAAGAATTAATGTGTAAAAAAAAATAATACTTTTGTAATTCAGGATTATCAATAAATAATCTAACAGCTACAATATCCTGACAATCGTGACTACAGATTACATTAAAGCTGCATAAACAAGCAAATTTTCTATTTTTATGTGTAATACACAATGTTTTTTTCTGTTACTCATTGTTGCAATTGTCAATTTGGTTAGAAATCTCTAAATTAAAGTTTTTTTCACTGTCATCATCTATTTCAGTATATTGGGTATTAATATTTGTATCGAACTGCAACACATTCCAGGTATTCGGATCAATTTCTAAAAAAGTTAAATACACAAATAACAAATACAGTACAATTAACCTTATCCCAAACTAACAGTTCTTATAAAGTAATTTATTGTTTTTTTTTATATACAAACCTACAATAAATTTTAAAAATTGAAGTTCAGATATTATATCAATTCAATATACAACTCACTCTCGTTACAGTAAACTCTCAATATAGTAAAGATTTGATATATATAGTGAAGATTCAAAATAATGAAAATTCGATATAGTGAAGAATTTTAAATTATGAGATTATTAAACTTCAACTCGATATAGTGATGTAATATATTATTCTCTCGATATAAGTTATAGCAAAGATTTATTTTTTCAGCCTAATGATTTAACTATAACAAGTGAGTTGTATAAAGACTTAACACAGGTATACTTACCTTTAACAAGATTTTTTTTGTATAAAAGTTCTCCCATTACTTCTATCTTTTTTTTTTTCTCGTTATAGTTTTGATATTGTAGGAGATTTGTCTTCTCCCTGCCAAAATCTTTATAAAAAAAATTGTTATTGATTTTTTTTTTTTTTTTAAACAAAAAATTCTTAGATTTATCTTTCAATTTCTCCATTATC